TCTTTCTTTTATTTTAATGGGAATTGCAGCACAGATCAAAGCTGGTGTGCACAGACCCGGGAGGGATGGCACAGGAAACCATTTCCCCGTGCCCTGTCACAACAGACCCCACTCAAGAGGTCTCTGCTCCCTGCTGCACCTCTCCTTATCACAGACTGAGCAGCAAGGCACAGGACGACCCCACATTCACCCTCCTGGCATTGCAACGAGCTGGGAAGCAGAAGCGTTCAGTGCAAGCTGCCTTGGGCCATGTGCACCTACTTGGCAGGGCATCCATGCCTCCATCTACACACTGCTATGCCCAGGGCCTTCCTAACGCTGCTCAAGGAACAGAGCAGAAGCCCTGAGATTAATTAATGAGCCGTGATGAGAAATGCAGCACCCAAGGAGCCAAAACCCACCCGCACTTGCTTGAGGGACACAAAGCCAGGCATTCAGTGCACGGGGAAAACATACAGCAACCAGAAGGGAGAAGCTCCCAGCTCAATAACCATCACTGAATAATAAACATATACCTCCAGGACAGGTTAATTAAGAGGTGCTTAATAAGCATCTTGCAACAGCTTTGTTTTGTAACCAGAGGCTGCACTGCAGGAAGGAGCAGAGGAACACACAGAGCTCAGGGCACGGAATTCCCCTCCAGCCCCACCACGCAGCAGGGGGAGGTGTCTCCATTCAGTGCTCCCATGCACATCCCTGGATCTGATAAAGGAAAGAGGATTCAGCCCCCACATCTCCATCCCACCCAAACCATATTGGCTCCTCCGTGATTGCAAAGAGACACAGCTGGTGTGTGCAAATGGGAGAGATGAACCCAGAGCGTCTTCTGCTGCCTCACACCACAATGATTCCCATTCATTCCAAGAAAACACAGCATAAAGGTATTGCCTGGTTTCAATCTCCACGCATTAATCAAGCCTCAGCCTATTTCTTTCTCTTTTCCAGCAGTGTGGGAGGCACAGGCTGTCCCATGAAATAATATTTTCCAAGCCATCGTCAAAGTCCGCCCGTCAGCCCGAAGCCTCTTTCTGTCTCAGCAGAGCTGGACAGGAAACAATCTGTGGGCACAACAGGGCCAGCACTCCCCGCACAGGGCTGTGAATGGGGGCCATTGTGCTGCAGTGAGGAACCCTCCCCAGCTCCAGCGGGGAAACAGATCTGTTTGCGTCGCTGCCACACACACGTTGCAGCTGAACAGGAGCCTTCATTCAGCACGGGGCAGGTGTCCTATCGGGACCTGCTGTCTGCACCATGCACAATGCAAGATTGCACATCGTTTTTTCCAACTTTTAGACCTTTATGCACTCTAAGTAAATTTCTACGTTTGGTTTTTGTACCGCTTTCATTTCTTTCAACTTTCTGGCGCACCTAAAAGAGAAGCTCCTGCTCTGTGTTTTGCCAGGGAGACACCCAGCAGGGCCAGAGCTTCCAGGAGAGCTGTGCAAAGGCACCAAGCGTGCCCAGTGCTTCTGTGAGCAGGCAATGGGAGCAGGGATGTTACCACATAGTGCCAGGTGGGAGAGGAGCAGTGGGGATGGAGACAGGAGTGGGGATGGGGACAGGGATGCTCTTTGTTGGTGCCCAATCTGGGATCTCCTTGCTCTACTGTGCAGCAGCCAGCAGGAACAGCTGCTTCCCACCTCTGCAACAGGGCAGATTAAAAAAGCAGAAGTGTACACTGTGTGCTTTTAGGGAAGAAAAGTGCAGGAAAATTCCACCTATGTGCAGACCAAGCCCACCGTGCTGACACTTCCCACTTCTCTCCTTTGATCAGGTACCAGGCATCACTGCCCTCAGCTGAATGAAGGACAGAGCATGGCCACACACAGCACTGTCTGACTCTGAAATGAAACAATCCCTTCATCACACTCACACCTTGCTGCAGACCACTGAAAAATTGCCATGGTGAACTTCTCTCTTTTTTTAAAAAGAAAAAAACAACTTTATTTTCTGGCACCAACTATCCCTTGTGACTGGACTTAGCCATGGGCTGTGACAAAGGCTGTGACAAAGGCTGCTTTCTTACCATGTTTATGCACTGTCAGAATTGCACAGGCAGTCCTGTCCCCAGCATTTCCTAGTGGCTCCAGGCTTGGTTTTCCATCTTTAATAATAATCTTTCAGCGTGTTTTTAAAATTCTGTACAGAATGACAATAGAATAACACCAGGGCTGCAAGATGAATCACCCAGAGGTTACACCCACAGCGTCCATAAAAGACAGGGAAGTGGAGGGAGAGCTGCCCTGAATGTGGGGGATGTGGGGACAGGGATGAAGGATGTGGGGATGGGCAATGGGACAAGGAAACAGGGAAAGGGATGTGGGGACAGGGATGAAGGGATGGGGATGTGGTGCATTTCGTGTGGGCAGCACCTTCCTGGGCTCCTCTCCCTGACTGCTGCAAGCAAAACCCCCATGGGATGGGGATGCTGAGAGCCCCCCAGGGTCCACAGGCTTAAAGAAAAAAACTGACAGCCACTTCAGTGAGGTTTTTTTCTCCTCCAAAACCACACCAGGCTGCTCCAGCCCCACCTGGTTCCTTTGAGATCAGCCACGCAAAGCGGGGAGGCTTGCTCAAACTATTTCTTTTCCCTCCTCCCTTCATGCAATCACTTCGAGCAGTGGGACACAGCCATCCTGCTCCCAGCGCTGTGCTGGCTGCCCCATGGCAAGCAGAGGGATGCAACGCAGAGGGATCTGACACAGAGGGACTCAAACCGTTCCCTGCTCCCCAAATTCAGGGCAGGCTCCTTTGTACCCTGAGCCCTCTCCGGAGAGCAGCACAACGCACACAAGATTTTGAACTGGTTGAGCAATCCCTGCCTAACATCAGAAGGAAAAAAAAAAGCAGCTCGACTGCCGAGATCTCTGCTGTTTGTGCACGGTGACATCGTCAGCAGAGCCTCCTCCGAGCCGGGCCGGGCAGCAGGAGCGGGATGCGCACGCCCGGGGGCAGCAGAGGAGCGCGGAGCCGCGCACCGGGAACCGCGGGGCCGGAGCGGGGCGATGGGGAGCGGCACCCAGGGGACCCCAATGCACCGACCGGAGAACAACAGCAGCCAGCACGGCCCGGCCTCCTCCTGCCGCCCTCTGCAGGGCAAGCTGGGGCTTTCCCGGTTTTCATAATTCGCTGATACTCATTTCCTATACGCAAAGTTGGAACAGCCCTTCGGGACGGAGCTTCCCCAGGGTCCTACAATGAGCTCCTGCACAGGTCGCGGTCCGATGGGGGAAGTGAAATGCATCGATCAGCATCTGCACGGTGCCAGCAGCAGGCAGAAGTGAGCAGGGGTCAGCAGGCTCTGCAAGCACCCACCCGTATGCAATGCAGCCCTGGGTGTTTGCATCGGAGCGTGGGAGCCGTCAGAAGCACTGTCACACAATTCGGTTTGGAGCTGCTCAGCCCTGCTGCCAATCAGCTCACAGGACGGTGGGAATGCACAGTCACAGCCAGGGGGATAAAGGGGTAAACTGAGTCATGCAGCTGTTCCATTGAAATGCTATTTTCAAATCATGGAGACAGAGGAGATCATAGCTGTCACATCCCCGAAGCGCTGGGGTTGACCCAGAGCAATTTTCCCTTCAAATGTGTCAAAAGATTTAACTCTATTTCATCACCTTATATATATATATATATATATCCACTTATCCAGTTATCTCCACTGCCACTTTCTAACACGAAGGGCTCCTGCAAAACCCTTGCAAGAGCTGTCCCCATCTTTTCCTCTTCACAAAAACTCCCCAGCAGCAGCAATTTTCTTTCCCAATATTCCATGCAAGCTGCATCCCTTCCCCATGCCCAGCACAGCCACGCTTTGCTCTGGCCCCGCAGAGCAGACAGGGGCTGCCCGTCCTCCCCAGAGATGCTGCATGGGGAGGAATTGGCAACAGCACAGCGTTTCACTCCTGGATATCCCCAATCATTTTCATGGGGCAGCGGCCACACGAAGAGCTTTTTGTTCTGCCCGCAGATGACAACGATAGACAGATTGATGGCAACGAAGTCATTTTGTCTCCTTCTGCAGCTGACAACATTTGCATTGGTATTTCCCTGGTGCAGACTCCACCTTTTATCTAACATGATTAATGCCATTGTAAATACAGAGAAAGAAGCAGCTGCTTCTGGTTTCTCAGCTTTTACTGAGCAGCTGACAAAAAAAAAAACCCACACACATCCTTTTGTAAGAGAATCCCTGGAGTCTCTGCAGGCTTTATGAAGAGCCTTTTATTGCAAAAGGTTGGAGAAAAGCTGTTTATAGCTGCTCTATTGTGCTGTGCTCACCACAAATCTGGATTGTATCTGCTGCAACCCAAGTGCCCAGGGCAGAGCAGTGAGCACAAGCCCTTGGCTGCAGGGCAGGTGACATGGATGTCATGAAAGCTGTGGCAACACTCAGGCCAATAGCAGGTCCAGGCGTAAAGCCTTGGGGGCTGCATGCAGCTCTCACCCAGTGCTGGGACCTCACAGACCACCACTGGAGTGGCTGAGATGCAGCGTGCCTTATTCTACCACCTGGAGGGGCTGGGAAGGGCACTGCAAAGCCTGAACTTTGCTGCTTTCCCTCCACAACACCTTTGTTATAAATGGGTCTGGTAATCAAAAGGTAAAATTCAGGTATGCAGTTCAAACAGAAAAATAAAAGCATTTGGTGTGAGCACATTGAGGTGCACCTCAGCTGCTGCTTTGCAAAGCCATTGACAGCCCCCTGTGCTGGGAGCAGTGATAATGTCCCCGAGTCACTGCTTGCAAAAACTGAGCCACCACCACCCCATCCCACCACTGCACCAGGCACAGTGCAGCTCCCACAGCCCCACTTAGCAGCCCAGCAGTGCTGGGACAGAACCATTTCAGGAACCAGCATCACCAAAAGCAGCTCTTTTTCCACCTGACAAGCCTTGAAATACCCAACAGCAATGGTGCATGCCCAGTATGGGACAGGGAACAAACTGTGGCAGGGAGAGTTGCCCCAAACCCCACAGCAGCACTGCACTCTGCCTTACCTGGCGCTCTGGAAGGTGGCTGACACCGATTTTCCAATAGCCCCGAATCCAACTCCCACTGCTAGCCCCTCTGCAACGGGAAGAAGAGAGAATTAAGGTCAGATCCTGCAGCATCCCTGGGGCTGCCCTTCCTTCAGCACGCCCAAGGAAGCAGGGCTGCAGGTCAGTGTGTTGCTTTTTCTCATTTTCACCTAAATTCTGTGCAGATCTGTACAAGGAGGGCAAGGGGTGACACTGAGCAGCATTGGGTGCAGAGGTGCTGCCTGCTGGGCTCCTTCATGGCTCCCTGATCTAAGCCTAATGCACTGCAGCCAAACACAGGGAGACTTCTACACCTGTAATAGCACATGGCAGGGGAAAAGGCCACAACCCCCAGCAGCTTCAATGCGACTCCAAGCACAGCAGGGGGAAGCCATCCAATGCACAGCAGCAGTGCTGGTTTGCAGCCCAATGCCAGTGCACGTTCTGCAGCCTTCGAGGAGGCAGTTCCCCACCCAGGCTGTGTGACAGCCATGCAGGAGACCGTTCAGAAGCCATTCAAACAGATGGAAGGTGTTACATGTGCCTGTGAGGGTGAGGTCTCAGAGGAACAGAACTGTGTATGTTTGTGGCCCCTTGGATTTCCAGTTGCCTTGGAAACACAGCATAAGAAGCAGCACTGATTTACTATCAGCATGGTGTCCCCTGCTACAGGCTGAGCATGTAGAAGTTGAAACACATCACAAAAAAAAAACCCAGAGCCTTGATCTGAGTTTTGGCTTAGGGTGGAGACAGTGAAAACGACATCAGGAATCAGTCCTACATACAGGGTGAGGAAACTCCTCACTATTCCTAAGACAAAAGTGCAAGGCAGTGGTGCAAGACCTGGTGCAAAGTCCCTATACAAAGTGCTTGTGGAAAGCCCTCGTGCAAAGTCCCCGTATAAAGCACTTGTGCAAAGCCTTCCTGCAAAACCCACGTGCCCTGGGCAAAGCAGTGATGCAAAGCCCCCATGCAAAGCTCTCATGCTGCCCAACAGCACCCTGGGGAAAGAGGAGGGAGCTCTACCAATGCATTCATGGTGATGCTGAGTGTGGTGAGGGCACGGCTCTGCACAAAGAGCTCTGGCTCTGCTCCTCTGAAAGATCTCTTTTTAAGTGTAACTCACCCAGAGAGCAGCAGTCAAGGGGTAAAAGTGCCCATTTGTGCAAATAACAAAAAGAGTTTTGGGAGGGGAAACAACACACCAGTTTTCCCTGCCGTAAAGCAAATCACATGCAATAAGAAACTCAGCAGCACAATTAATGGAAGTACAAATTACGGATACATGGGAACAAATTATAGGAAATTAGAATCAACAGATGGTGCGTAGTGAAGGGCTCACCCAGAAAGGGAGGAGCAGAGATGAAAGAAGCTCCATCAAACCTCCCCACAAACCCATGCACTGCACTGCAGGAGCTGCTGCAATGCACACAGCCATGCAGAGCTCAGCCCCATGCATGGTTCAGATGATTAACTTGGAGGCAGAATGGCTGACTGCATCCCAGCAGACCTTTCCCTTACCATCCATTGCACAAGTCAGCAAGAGCTCGGCCAGCTGAAAGAACCAGGTGAAATAAAACCCACTGCTCTTCTAAATCCTGTTCACTGCAGCTTATATGGCTGGGCCAGGAGTGCTGAGCCACAGAGCTCCCCTGTTCCAGGGACACACCATGCACTCACCTGGCCCTGGCTGCTTCCAGCATTGCTCTCAGCATGCAATGAGCTCTGCAGCCTTGTGGGAGCCAGATGTAATGCAAAGAGCACCCAGAACTCAAAGCCCTCCCGATTCTCCAGAAGAAACTAATAAGCAGCAAGCCTCGCTCACTGAGCCTTTAGAAATCACACTGGCAAGTAAATTAACCCCAGCTATTGTGTTACATGGCTTAAAGAGCAGAAAAACGAGTACAGGCTGCAGGCAAAGAACAGCATTGCGATGATTAAAAACAAATAACAAAAGTAACCAAAAAAAGAAAAAGGATAAAAGTAGTATTTCTGTGATCCCTCTTTGCCTCCCGGTTTGTAATAACACAGCTCAATTTCAGGAACAAAGAACAAGATGCTCTCACACCCTGGAGCTCAGACCCCTCCTAATACCCCTGCAGGAACCCAGGGGGATGCAGCACTGGCAGGATGGGGGCTCAGGCTCCTTCCATACGGACCATGAACGATGCACAGCACACAGTTGAGCAGGGGCAGAAGCCAGGGCATGGAGAGAGACTGAAGGCAAGGGGAAATAAGGGGCTGTCAGTGGCTTCTGCCTACAAGGGAGATGCTGCTGCACAGCCTGAGGGATACTGGATTTCTTGGGGAGATAAAGAGAGCTGCAGCATGTTGGAGCACTGCATCTGAAAGAATGGAAAGAATTAAAGATGTGCCAGCCCTTCCTTGGGAGCAATGGAAAGAGCCTGCAATTTGGACAACACCCTCTGCATTAGCTAATGCACAGCTGATGCAAAGCACGTGCTAGCTCAGTGCAAGGGCTCCCTCTGGGTCCACCCTGCCCAGCAGCACTAACCTGGAGCAGCAATGAGCTGCTTCCAGAGCTTTTGGTTAAATAAAACCAGCACTTTGGGGCAAGCAGACTGCTGCCCACATCCTTTCCAACTGTGCATTGCAATGGCTGTTGTGCAAGCCATGATGCACCTGCAGCTCTGAGCATCTCCAGGCTGGCAGAAGCAGCATGGTGCTGAGCTAACTGCTCCTCCTGTTAGGGCAAAGGCAGCTCTCCTGGGTCAGCAAACAAACCCTCTTCCTCCAGGAAGGGGCTGGGGATGCCAACATACCATCAATTATTCATCTCCCTCTTTGAAGAACTGTAAGTTCCTCGTGGAAAATTAATCTGACTCTAATGAGGTTTGTATTTCTAAGAGTTTAAGCATGTCCCTGTCTCCACTATTCAAACTCATCAGTTCTTCCCAAAGGTTGAATTCCAGTTCCCATCAGACAACATCTTTTTGCCATTACAGTGCAAGAAAGTGCAGAGATTACCAATGATTTCTGTGAATTTCACATCTCCAAGTATCTGCCATTAAGAATAGCAAGCAAGAAATTGAGGTAACTTTAGCAAGATTAATTTTTTCCTCCAGTTTTCCAGAGATCTGAGGACAGGTCCAAGCAATGCTGTGCACGTGTTGATAGCAAACAGCAGCTGGAGGCAGGCTGAAGCCTGCAAAAACAAACAGCCATCCCCTTTCAGGTGCTCAGCACAGAGGAAATAGCCCTATTGCTGTGTGCAACACAACGGGGTCAAACTTCATCAGAGGGAATGCTAGGTCGCAATGTACTCTCTGGGGGGATGCCAGGTGATTCCACAGAAGGGCTGCAGGATGGGGTGTTCTGGAGCACAGCTGCCCACCCATGTATAAGCCATCGGAGAGGTCAGTTTGCAGCAGCAGAACAAGAAGAGGACAAGAATGCTGAGCCAAACTGGTGGTGTGCACCACGGCAGCTGTGGGTGTATGGTGCCAGCAGACACAGGGAAATACAGCCTGGGAGCCACGAAGCCTTGCTTTGGGATCTTTGTCATCCAATAGGGTGGACTTAGGAAGACCAGGCAATTCCCTTATATTCCTCTTGATTCACCCCAGGAGCCAAACCACCAGCGTGCCATTCTATTCCTCTTTTCACCTCTATCACCAAAGCACAACTGGGCACAAATCCCTGCTTCCAACCACTGAGCACAGCAGAGCTGAGCTGCACACAGCCTTGTGCACCCAAACGAGGCACCTGGTGTTAAACAACTCACTGCTCACACCCTGAGACTGCCACCATGGAAATGCATCGGTGGGTGAGCAAATCCCTTTCCCACAGTGACAACCCAGAACTGCCCTCAGAGCTGGGACCGACAGCAGAGCTGCAGCCAAAGCACATGTCTGTGTGACCCACAGCACTGCATGGGAGCGGGGCAATCCCCCATATGCTGCCTGCTGAGCCCCATACTGCTGGCATGGCCCCACGCAGGGCACAGCAGGGAATCCCCGTGCCTCTCCATGCTTTCCCCCCTTTGCAGAAAGCCAACAGCTCTGCGTGAGTCGCTTCGATCCATCAAGGCACTTCATCCGTGCAAATGTCAAAATATGTGCTGATGAGGCTGCAATTAGTGGGAGGTTTAATGAAAGGGTAGCGCAACCTTTTTCAGAGCGAGCAACTGATTGCAACTGAGTCGCAGCCATGCAAAACGCTTTGGGGATGCATGGCTCCCTCTGCTCCCAACCAGTCACCATCCACCAGGTCCATGCCATGACACACAACCATCCCTCCCTCCAAGCAGCAAGCATAACCTGGTGAGCATGGTGCTCCCTCTGCAGCAGTTTGGTTCCATGGAGCTGCTGCACGAGCAAAGCATGCACGATGCACCAAACATAGGGGCACCTTCCCCTGCCCTCTTTCCCACCCCGTTCTCAGGAATTCAAGCTCAAGCACATCTTCTCCTTTTTCTACAAACAAATCCTCACAGCAGCAATCAGAGATGCTCCAGGAATGACTGAGTGCAATTGTTCAAACCGATGCCAGTGGAACCAACAGCAGAAGGCACTCAGCTGTCACTGAAGAGGGGAGCGTGCGTGCAGATGAGACACACACTGAGCACAGCACTAAGCAGCACAGCACTCAGCTCCTGTCCTCGTGCTCTGCTTGAAGCACAGTGAACATCTGTGCAGGTGCCACAGCAAAGTGCCCCTCAGCAGAGCACCTGATGGCCATACAGGAGACACATTAAGAGGCATTCAAAATGGTTAAAGCTGCAGAAAACGAGAAAGAAAGCAGTGTCCTTTGTCCTTATAGATGTCACCAGCTGAAAGTTTTTCCATTTCAGATCTTTCCTCTCTTGTCCATAGTGGTGCTTCACTGTGTCACTGCAACACTCCTCCCTCCTCTCCTCGGTGCTTCACAGCCAAGGATGACTTTGTTCCATATTTAGCCCACACACTTTATGATCCTCACACTTCTGTGCTTGCTTTGTTCCTTCTCAGGGAAAAACAAGAGCAATGCAGCACGTTGGTCAGCTTCTGGGAATGGGAAATGGAGAAAAGGCTCTGTGTGGAGCCCTTTGGGTTTGGAGCACAGAGGGATGCCAACATCACCACCACCTTCTACTGGCTTTTTCCCTCACACCCCCACTTCACTTGGACATCAGAGGCAGAAATAGTGCAGAAATCTTACCAGGGAGCAAACACAGAGCAATAGGGCCACACACAGAAACACAGGGTATCTTACTGCAGAAGGGATGGGACAATGGGGCTGGCAGTAAGTGGGCTCCTCTGGGTGCCCCCAGCGCAGTGCCTGCAGCCACTCCAGCCCCACAGCATCATAGAAACATAAGGAAAATTCAGGCTGGGTTTCCTTGGCAACATCATCCTGGCTGGAAGCATCCCCTGGTGTGGGCTGCAGGGACTCCCGTGGCACCCCAAGACCAGCACAAGGTATGAGCATCACTGCACACTGTTCTTAGTGCCTGCACACAGCAGGGGTTGCAGGAAGGAGAAGAGAGTGCAGCCAGCAGAGCCAGTTGGAACAGCCATCCCAAAAACCTGCAGTCCCAAATACCTGCCATTGAATGGTGTGTCTGCAACGGGGCAGCATAGAGCAAAACAGGGAGCCCATGCCAGACTCACAGCTCCATCCCACAGCGTTCCCTCCTCCCTCGGGGATGTGTGCACAGAGGAAGGACTTTAAGCTCACACCTCGCTAATTGTTATTTGTGATACACCAGTAACATTTTAATTAATTTCAAGTCTTCAGCATAACAACCACCCAAGGTACAAAGATGAAGCAGAATAAACAGAGCTTGATTAAATACATAATTAATGTTCTACTAAAACTGGCATATATGAATATTAATTAGTGGGGATATTCTGCTGTTCGGCATCTCCTGTCATTATCAATTTATTCTTTACATTACCAGCCCCAGCTTTGGAAGGAATTAGCAAAGCTTTTCTCGCCTGCAGAACGCAGCAAATTCAGGAGGATGGTCCCTACATTCAATTATCTCAGCACACACAGCAACAAGCCTGGAAGGAAAGATAGACACACTGCCAAGGCTGAAATGTGCTCATCCCCGAGCAGGGCTCAGAGTAAACAAGCCCAGCACTCTACTGGCAGTCAGAGCAAAAGGCTGTGAAGCAGCGGGCTCAGCTCTGCCCCCCAGCCCTACCTCTGGTTCCCCTCTGGCAAAGTGCTGCTGCACCAGAAGCAAAAGAGAACAGCTGCTGCCCGGAGCCAAGGTGCAAATCTCACACCTGCAAAGCCACAGTGCTCCTCTTCTCCCTTCTGGCCTTTAAGTTCTTAGCCCACAGGAGGCCAGAACAGAGTGCCAGCAGTTGCTGCAAGCAGCCCCTTCCCAATTGCATTCACCTCCCTGCAGTACCCAGCCCATCCCTCATCCCAGGGATGTGCTTCAAATAGAGCAGGGAAGGATGGCAAGCCCTGGGAGCGATGCTGCCAACCATCAGCATCTCAGCTTCTGGGGCATCCCGGCTTTTCAGCTTACACAGAGCGGCTCAGCCCCAAACCCTCCCTGCTCCTTCTCCAGCACAGCATTAAGCACAGTGTCATTCCACTGCAGGAGTCTGCGCTAATTACAGTGTCAGCCTTTCCGCCGGCAGGGATGATAATTGAGGTAGAGCATTACAGTGTTTCCAAACCCTGTGCAGCAGGCGGAGAGCTCAGCAGATCTGAGAGTGCCACCAGGCACTGGTGACACTGGCAGCGTGGGGATGGTAAAGCAGAAAAGCTCTGGGGAAAACCAAACCCAGCAGCATCCTGCAGACTGTCCAGAGACCATGAGCCTGACCTCACTGCGCTGAGCCCCAACCCGTGGGCTGGACACAAAGCAGCAGCAGGCAACAGACTGGGTTCAGGGCCCCCACTGGCACAGCTCCCCAAATATTCAGCTTTAATATTGTGACCTTTAAGATGCAAAAGAATGTCTGAGCTCCCACAGCTGCCCAAAGGTGGCTTTGTGCTCTTGCTGAAGCAATGAAATGTTGGATCTGCATCTCTACAGCAACCTGAGGTGCGCAGCCATTAACTCAGTCCTGTGGGTGATGCTTTGTTCATTCCTCTACAAAACTCGCTTTTTGCAATGACAGTGAAAGGAATCCCCCACCAACACAGCCCGAGGCAGTGAGCTGCTCACACAACCCAGCTCCTCACTCCAGGCTCCCTGGCACTTCATTTGCAGGATGCAATCCAATTACCGCTCACTCCGAGCAACAGCTTCCTCCTTTCTGTGTACACACGTGGCTAATTCAAAGCTCTCTGCTCGCCTCCTGCAAGTGCACAGCAGGGCTGGGAGTTTGTAAAGAGACTGTGCACCCTGCAGGCTACAAACAGGAGCAGCCCTGGGACCAGTGCCTGCAGCTATAGCATGAGGTGGCCCTTGCACTCATAGCAGCCACAAGCCCCGTGCTCACACCACGGCTCTCTAAAGGGCACTCACCATCCTCCCCATGCTTACAGACCCAGTTATGCAGAAAAGCCATTTCTTAAACCCCCCACCTTCATTCAGGGAACAGCCTGAGAGATAGAAAGGAAGCTGGGGAAGGAGAAAGAAAGGGGAGGGAGCAGACAGGAAGGAGCAGAAGAGGAAAGATGGGAGATGGGAGTCAGGAAAACCGCCTTATATTGCTTTCAGCATCACTAAGATCTGCAAAGCAGCTGAGTGTCTTCAGCTGTTAGCACTTTCTCTCATCTTGCATCATTTCTGGTACCCTCAAAGCCCAGCTCCTGGAACAACGCAGTCCAAGATTCTTGGCCCTGCAGTTTCCCATCTATTGGCACACTCCATCCCTTGAATAAGAAAGTCATAACCGTACTTGTTCCTGAAGAGAAGAACTGCTTTAAAATGCACCTCTTGCTGCACACAGACCGAAAAAGGAATAACAAGAGACCAGAATTCCATTGTCTTTACAGTGCCGTCTTTCTCAATCTCCTCTCAGATTTACAATTTTTGCCCACGACAGGCTGGCAACAAAGTGAGGCTGCAGATGTTAAAGACACACCAGTGAGCCTGCAATTTCCCCTCCCTGTACGAGGGTTTTGCTGCCAAAACCTTCCTTTGGTTCAGCCCCATGCAAACAGCGCAATGCAATGTGACAAATCCCACTTGGCAGGTGCCATCTGCAAGCAGCAGTGAAAAGGAGGAAGGGAGAAGAGAAGGCAGCCCCAGAAAATCCTCTTGGGCTGCGTCCAGCTCAGCATCATCTCTGGGAAGGGTACAGGGACGGACAGACAGAGGGATAGACAGATAGATGGATGGCCAGGCAGACAGCTGGGCCTTACCTGGGATGTTGTGGATGGTTATAGCAAGGATCATCAGCAGGATCCGCCTCCAGCTGCTGCTGCTGGCTGTCAGGGCAGCATCCCTGGCCGTGGGGAATGCTGGGGGGCTGTCAGGCACGGGGGTCCCCACACCTCTCCTCCGCTGGTAGGGCTCCCCGTTCTCAGCCTTATCTGAGGGGACAGAAGGACAGAGCTGGGTCAGCCAGAGGGGACAGGAGGTGGACACCTCCCACCTTCCCTCTCCAAAGGAGAATGTAGAGAGAAGGAAAAACACCCAGCAAGACTTGTTGCTGCCATCTGTTAACGTCTCTGGGGGTGCTGGGTTCCCAGAGCTCTGCTCCCAGCAGCACAATGACCACCAGCTCTATTCAAACACAGGCACCTAAATCCAAGCCCCAGGGAGGGCTGTGAAGGGAGGAACAAGCACTGGGCAGTGCTGTAACAAAGCTTGTGCAGAACGAGACCAGAATCAAAGCCTTCCAGCTGCTTTCGCTTGGCACTTAGCAGAAGTGATAAAACAAATGTCATCAGCATTTCTAAAATATAACTTCTGGGGTCTGAACAAAGCAGCTTCGCTTTGGCACCTCCTCTGCTTGTAAATATGCTTCTCCCATGCACTTTTCATGCACTATTACCTCCGGGATTGCAGGGGTAAGGAGGAAGCAGCCCAAAGTGCAATAGAACCGCACCTGTAACGAGGCTGCAGTCCCACAGAGCACAGCAGCACACGAGGGCAGTTTAGGGGAATAAACAGAGCAGGCACAGCTTCTGCAGAAGCACAGAGGGCAATTTAGACTCGTGATTTAAACAGCAAAATGACTCTCATGTAAATCATCTGTGCCTTAGCAGAAGGAAAGGCAGCAGCATCCCCACCAGGGAGACAACCCGAGCATCATTCCCTACTCACATGTAGCAGCAGGGCTACACAGGGGGGAAAACTGTGGTTGGCTTCCAAGCGTGGTGGGGAATAAAGGAGTAACAGCAGCAGCTGATGGGCAAAGACACAGCACTGCAACACACAACAGCACCCAGAGCTCCAACCAGGGCACAGGGCAGGGAACAAAACAACAGCAAAAGCTAAACAGGGCTGGAAGAGCCTCAAGAACAAATTGAAGCAGTGCTAAGAGTGGAGCAGGGGGTGGCTTTCAGAGAGTAGCTGCTGCGATCAGATGGGCTGCTCTCAAGGATGCTGCCAAGACAATTATATAGCAAATAATTATCTGTGCCACATGCATTACTTTGAATCCTGTTCACAAAAACTCCTCTATATATTCTCCTCAATTTATCATTATTGAATTTCTTCATAAAGCTGCAGGGCAAAGACTCTGCCAAAAGTTTAATTACATACGTGCAGCCTGCTGCATTTTTCATATCCTCTGCAGCCAGCCCTTGAAAAAGATAAATGGCTTTGAGTATGGCTTAAACTGCTGCAAAACATAAAAGCCAACGGACTCCTTATCAGCACGTGAAACAGCTTTTTATTTTCTTATTATTTCTTAATGAAAACGGCTTGCATGAGCTGGAGTTCAGCTCTGCTGCACTTGCAAACACACAAACAGATGAATACACTATTTGCTATCCGCACCCAAAAAACTCTTCACAACTCTACCTCCTGAATTACTATCAAACCCTATGGAGGCAACAGAGCTCTTATGGCTGCTTCAGAGCCCTCCCCATTCAGGGATGGCTTTGGCCATGCCTTTGTCCAACAGCAGCACCAAGGTCTTGTCCAGATGCCCACATAACACAGGGCTGGGATTCATGTGCCTTCATCCCTTTGGGACGGGGTGGGATAACCCACAGCACTCAGTGCCTCCCTGCCTGAAGGTGCTGGAATGAAAATCATTCACAGCACCAGAATGTCATTCAATCTTTTCCCCATTGATTTCCCCATCAAATTCTTGCAACAAGACCATCTGCCCTGCTAGGAAGGGATTTTACTGCCAGCGTCCGAAGCACTGCAGACAGGAGGAAATCACTGCACAGCACAGCACATCCATCACAGGGCAATGTGGAGGTTCTGCCCTTGGCCAAACTTGCATGAGATAAATTAGCAGCCTACTAATAAACATTTATCAGCTCCCATCCCCAACCTGTGGGAGAAGGGAAGGAGAGGGAGTGATGAGCATGAAGAACAACACTCACAAAGACGTGACTAAATGCCATGCACAAGGCGTTCAAAAAAGCTGTTCTTTGTCAGCTCTCACAGGGAATACTCTCATTTCAGAAGCCTTTAAGATGGACATGCACCCATTCTGCCCAACACCACACTGTATTGGCACTCAGTCTTTTGCACAAGATGGAAATGTGCACTGAATGCTACGGTGGCTCTATTAAAAACGTGAGAGATAAGCCAGTGTGCACTGACCCTTGTCTGGGGGTGGGGTGGGGAAGAGAGAACAATCTGCTAGGGAAATGACAACACAAGGAGCTGCCATCCCCTCCTGAGTGCAGAAAATAACAGCATGTCCAATTCTCTCCCCTCATGACTGAGATCAAACTATATGGGAAACGCCTAAGATTCCCCAAGCCCCTTATAGAACACATGCTGAGGGCATGCAGCTCGTAACACACACCCAAGCACTGCCCCTTCCACCCTCCATAAGCCTGAGATGCTCCATTAACCTTAAGCACACATAACAAATGCTCCTGTTTGATCCCACACCATATGGGCTCCATCACCACTACTCCTGTGAGGAGTTGGTTCAGTGCCTGCTCTGCTCAGGCAGCACAGGCCAGAGGGAGACAGGGGAAGAATTCATTCTAAGTGCTGAGCTACAGTGCTCCCAGAGCTGCCCATCAGGTGTCAGCAGCTCATTAGCAATTAGCAGAGACAGGCTGAGCTGAGAGCCTGGAAATGAAGCTGTGAAGGGACTGTAGCACGAGTCTAATGGGAAGAGGATGGTTCATTCTAGATAATAGGAAACTCAGGGGTAAGGTGCTCTCTTTCCACAACTCCCTGAATTTGCTCTGTTTAATAGAAATAGGATGAGAGGTGATGGCCTCACATTGCTCCGGGGGAGGTTCAGGTTGGATATGAGGAAACAGTTGTTCTCAGAAAGAGCAGTGATGCAGTGGCACAGCTGCCCAGGGAGATGGGGGTATCACCATCCCAGGAGGTGTTCCAGAGCCATGGGGATGTGGCACTGAGAGATGTGGTCAGTGGGCATGGCAGGGGTGGGCTGGGGCTGGACTTGGGGAACTCAGAGATCTTCTCCAACCTTAATGGTTCTATGACTCTATCATATCTCAGTGCATCAAATCGGGATGGAAAAAGGATCTGGGATGAAAGCATGCTGCAAAAAGAACCCTGAACTCATCTCGTGCAATGAAAAGCACAGCAGCAAGAGCAGCTCTATGGGAACTGCAGACCCCACAGCAGGACGGAACCTCACACTGCAGCCCAGCAGCACCCAGCACAGCCCTGCCCTTGCTCCCTGCCTCCCATCCATCTTTCTTCATTCTCTGACCATAAGGAAACCCCAGAAGAGAAAGTGCTTCGAAATTAACAGCCACAGCCCCCGGGAAGCCAAGCCAGACAAGCTCTCACAGCAGCACCCACGCAGCTCCACAGCAGCACACTCAGCCTTTCCAGGACAACACCATCAATCTTTCTTCATATCTTTTTCCTGCTGTTGTTTTAAGGCTCTGCTCAGGTGCTGACAGCCTCTGACTGTGCAGCATTGATCTGACAGGCACAGACACTCAATGGAAGGGGTCAGGGGACCCCTTGGCCACAGCCATTCCCTCACTACATTCTGTAGGAATTTTAGGGAGCAGAGCAAGCAGCAGCAGATGGGTGCTGGCGAGCACCTGCTCCCCATCGCATGCTGCTCTTTAACAGATTTTAATTACTGTGAGTAATTAAGCACAGCACCTGTGATGGGAGAGGCACTGCAGGGCCCCAAGCTGGGTCTGCTCTGCTCAGAGCCCACAGTGAGATCAGAGGGAATGGAAATGAAAGACAGCCTTTTCCCTTCCCTGTTTCAAGGAATGAGTCCCCAAATGCAAGAGAAGCTGATAGAAAGGCTGCTCATGCAACAAAGCTGCTGAACGGGGAGCTCCGTAGAGTTGCCCAACTATAGCCAAATAATGGTGCTTTTAAAACACATTGCTTATTCAGCACTAGCAAAAGCAGCAGTGAGGAGCTCAGGGATCAAACCCACAGACCAGCAGAGATGAGCACCAGGGGACACCTGTGACACCATTTACACGCTGCGTGACCACAGTCCCAGCCCGCTGGCACAAGCTCAGCACTCTGCTCTCCCCCCCCCCCCACCAAGGAACAAATTCATTTCCAACATTTCTGGCAGATAAAAGAGGTCTCTGCATCTGCTGGGGCTTTCAGCAAAGAAGATAAATAGAGAGTGTCATGACTCACTGTCTATTAGGCGCCTTCATTTATCCAAGCGTGCACAGGAGCTCTCATAAAAGGTTGTTTAATTCAGCATGACTGACTACCACTGGCTCTCAGACACGTGGTTATTGCTGGGATCTGTCTGAAGTTTGGAGCCAGGAGGAGGCAGCAGCCATCCCCTGCTCCAGAGTGCATCAGACAATGAGCAAAAGGGTTCCTGGAGCCCAGCTCCCAACACAACCGCTGCATGAGAACAACACAGCCTGCAATCTGCCCAGAATTAATGGCCAAAAAGGGAAAGAAGAGCTGGGGGACTCCTGGAGCCAGGGCTGCCCTCCCTGCCCCATACCTTCCCTACCCTGGGCAATCCCAGCAAGGGGGGACACCTGCAGCCCCAGAGCAGCCCTCCCCAGCTTCACAAGTACTACCTCCATCCACACAGCCCTGATGCTAACACAAGAACTTCTCCTTCCTCCCTGTAATCCATCATCAAGGATGGGTGAAATCTGATGAAATTACTGCTCCAGCCCTCAGCACCTTCCTTCACCTACAGCAGCTGAGAAGTCACGCATGGCAGGCACACAACACATGGGCCTTACTGCTGCTTCCCTTTATCTTCCCATATTTTCTATGATTTCTCTCCCGCTGCAGGTGATGCTCTGAGCTGCCAGCAACATCCAGGCTGGGAAAGGCTCCAGGTGTCCCAGGGAGCTGTTGCTGTGCTCAGAGGTGCACTCGAGGATGGGAAAACGAGTGCGTAACACAGCTGTTAATTCAGACAAAGAGGCACTTGAAAAAGCAATGAAAAGGAGAA